ATAGGTGTCGAGCCTTCCGGTTAATACCGGTAAAAATGACAATTGGTAGTACTCGTATAGTCTACTTGCGACACCGACCTAGAGATTACCATAGTTGTATTTACAGCCCCCTTTAATTAAATTGATAAATTTTGAACAGTTAAAGTTGTTTAACATCGTTGAGCATGATGGTTTTCAAAAGATGAAGATGTGTTTTATTTTCAAAAAGGCATGGCATGACATGTGCATTCATCTCTTGAGACTTGTATAAAATGTGTATATTTTGTTAAGGATTTTTTACTGGGCTTTATGCTCACCTTACCGAATTTTTGTGCAGGAAAAGACGTGGCGAATCTGCCTAATTGAGGGCGTGGAAATGTGTGTGTTGAGAGCACTAAAGTTCTCATTTGTTGTGATCCTATTTGTAAGCCAAGGGCTATGTATGTGTGGGTTTGAATAACCATTTTGTGTACCGGGCTTAAGTCTTGGAAGATTGTCAACCCTTGGGGGTGCTTATTTGGTTATTTACTTGTTGTTGAATCAATGTAATATCGTATGAGGAATTATTATTATTATGTAACGCAAGTATGGGAAGTTATATTTGGTTTTCCTTTAAGAGAGTCATGATTGTTGCATTATCATTTGGGTTAGAAATTTGGGGCGTTACATGACATTTGTTTTATGTTCAATTTTCTTTTTAAAATTTTCATTTTTTTTCTAGTTATCTTTTGCGGCTTTGATGTAGTATGTCTTCATTTTATTATTTCATAATAAAAAAGTGACTTATGTTTTTAAGAATTTTGCTTATGAAAATTAATGTTTAGTTTCTGTTTTTGCCATTTTATTTTATTTGAAAATTAGAACTCACAACTATGGTAAGTGTTTTTAAAATTAACACAAGAAAATTGTAAAATAGATATTGTATTAATGATATTTTTAAAAATTATGAGTCATATGGTAGTGTTTTAATTTAAAATTAACAATTACAAACAATCAAATAAGTGAATTATATCTAAGAGTGAGAAAAAAAAAGGTGGAAATTAAAAAGTGACAAGAAATGAGATTACCGATAACATTATTCAAAATATTTTGTATTTTCATTAGTTTGTATAACATTTTCCTTTCTAATCGAAAAATTATTAAATACTTTTCAAATACTATGTGATATTATTTATATAATACTCTAAACTAGTGAAAAATCATAATGAATGATACTACAATAATCACATTTATTTATTTATCACGTATTGTTTATCACGTTATGTGACAATAATAAATTAGTCATAAATAAAAAATAGTGCTCCTCTAGTATAAAAATTTGATCTATTTTTCAAAGAGAAAAGCTAAGTGTTTGTTTGAGTTAACCTAAAAAAGTAAATTTTTGTTGCCTACATACACTTATTTAGATCATATCAATCAATATCTATCAACATCTCTTCTCTACTTTTCTAATTATTTTCTCTATTTTTGTTCACATTTTTTTAATAAAAAATCAAAAAATACACTTATTTAAAACATTTCAAACCATCCAAGTGCACAAAATTAATCACATATAAGACATAAAAGTGGGTCCCACACAGTTGTGACCCATATGTAGCACTCACCTTTTGTGTTTTGTCTATAATTAATTTTGTGCACCATTCTATAATTGTTGCAAAACTCTTTTTCAAACTCAATAAAGTTGCAGTTTATTAAATATTTTAAAGCTACTCTTTCTCTTTCTTTTTTGATCATCAACCAATAATTTCTTTTACATATCTTTGGGTCTTAAAAATATATTTAGAAATTGGACTTTTATATCATTTTTTATAAATATAACGAGACACAATTAACCAATGTAATTAAAACTTTTATCTAACAAAAGTAAGTTAATATATTCCGCTATTAAATTTTTTTTGTTAAGTGACTGATTTAAAGGTTTTGGCTTTTTTCAAGTTGTCATTTCAACTTGAGAGAGCACTCGCGCTTGGTAACAATGGCGGAGTCAAAAAATTAAATCAAGAGGAGCACTTATTAATTACAGCTTTATTTTATTTTATTTTTTTCATAACCAACAATAAGAAGATAATAATAATTTTTGAATTAATATTGTTAGACTTATTTATTTTGATGATTTATTTAATTATGGTTTAATTTATTTGAAAGAGAAAAATAGAATCAAAATTTATTTTGTCCCATTATTTTTCACTTAAACCTTTATCCTAAATGTTGTTAGAATGTATTTAATATTTGATTAAATCGGGAGTTCAAACAGCACAAAACAGAGGTTCAAACAGCTCAGCACAGTAGCAGTTCAAAAGGTTCAAAAAATTCAAGTGGAAGATATTCAAATTTGTAATGATGGAGGGAAATATATTCAAATTAGTAATGATGGAATTACAACGGCTATAAACGGCTATAAATTCAAATGAATAGTTCAAAAGATTCAAGTGGAAGATATTCAAATTTGTAATGATGGAAGGAAAGATATTCAAATTAGTAATGATGGAGTTACAACGGCTATAAATTCAAATAAATGGTTCAAAAGGTTCAAAAGATTCAAATGGAAGATATTCAAATTAGTAATGATAGAGTACAACGGCTATAAATTCAAATGAATAGGTCAAAAGGATCAAAAGGTTCAAGTGAAAGATATTCAAATTAGTAATGATGACTACAATGGCTATAAACGACTATCATTGTCATTATATATACCAAAGCCTCTAATGTAAAACAAGTTACAAAAAAATCTGAAAATATTCTTTGATCTATAATCATTCACATCTATTCTCTTAAAAATTCTCTGAGAAGTATTCTTCAATTTTTGTTTACATCCTCTCTCAGAAATTATACACTGAGCCTTATGGCTTCAAGCCCATCTTTCTTGTGTGAGGTTTACAGAAAAACCAAAGCTTCATTTTTATATCTATCTTTGAGAGATAATTCTTGTAGCTTTCTGTGAAAGCAAAAATACCTTCTTTTCAACCTTGTAAGAGTGTAGTACACTCAGTGTTCTTGACTTAGAAAGTCTGTGTAAAATCCATGGAGGATTGCTCCATTTGTAAAGAGGTTGCTAGCACCCCCGTAAAGCTAGAGCATAGTGGAAAATCTCAAGTGAAACTTGAGGAGTGGACGTAGGCCGAGTTGAAACCGAACCACTATAAATTTGTTTGTCTCTCTTTCCCATATCTCTTTATTTTATTTAAATTGTTGTAACTATATTTCACATTTTCACTGTGCTAAAATCATTAACTGACATAGTTGTTAGAACACTTGTTTTAATTATTTTTATTTCATTAACTATATTTATCTATTGTGCTAGTCATAATTTTTATTAGGATATTATTAATTTTTAATTGTAAAAACCTAATTCACCCCCCTCCTCTTATGTTGTCTTTTGGGTAACAAATATTAAGTACAAAAAATTAAATAAATCATTACAAAAGTATTTCACATAAAATTTTACAATTAACTTCAAGTAAAATCGAAACGAAAGTATTGCATATAACTAGTATATCATGGACAAATGTAAAAAAATCATATATCTAAGTCATAAAATAAATTATATAATGGTGAGATAAATCAAAGTTTTACAAAATTTGAGTAAAAATTTCATATAATAGTAATATCACGTTATTATTGACATATGATATCACCAACCAATAGTAAAGCAACATATGAAGGGTGAACTCCACATGCAAATATAACTAACACTCTAGTAATTTTTACATATATATAGTGAGATTAATTATATTTGCATATTAATAATTATGGATATTACCTTTATATTGAGATTTTTTCACAAAATTTTCATTCATAAAAATATAATTTGTTGTAGTCACTTCATTTTTAATAAAACAATCACTATTGTTTTCATAAATTTAAAAATACCCTTGATATTTAATTCTAAATATTATTTTTATTTATATACATATGTATAAAAAAAATTTGAAAAATCCAGGGGGACACGTGATCCCCCCAGTCCCCATGTGGCTCCGCCACTGCTTGGTAAGTCCATTTTGAAATCGATTTCAATGATTCAAACCGTTCACTTTTTTGGACTCGTTTAGTAGAATATCTATGCAAAAAAAATCAAGATAATTTGATATCGAGAGCTATATATTTGAATCATATTTGTACAAAAAAATGACAAATATAATTTCAAGAATAACCATACATTTTTTGTAATACAAAATTAATTCAAACATATAGTTATTAATATCCGATCAATTTAATTTTTTACATGAATATTCTACTTAACAAGTCTATTTTAAGAATAACCATCCATTTATTTATTTATTTGGCTTGAGTTTTCATAAATTGTTTCATTAAAAAAAAATTGACTTTTTGCGACATACTCTTAATGCCGTCGCAAAAACTTTTTGTGATGGCAAAATGACTTTTTGCGACGGCAAGAGGGGGTCGCAAATGGAGGGGTTGCAAAAGAGTTTTTGCAACGGCATGTGCAGTCGCTAATAATGTTTGAAATTTCTTAACTTTTTACGACGGCACTATTTTACCGTCGCTAAAAATGTTATTTGAGATGGCAAAAAATACTGTCGCTAATAGTCTTTTTTTTTTTTTGCAACGGCAAAAACACTGTTTTTGCGACGGTGTGGTCCCATCGCAAAAAGTATTAAAAATATGAAAATTTTTATTTTTTTGCGACAGTGTAATGCCGTTGCAAAAAGTATTAAAAAAATAATAAAATTTCTATTTTTTGCAACAGTTTAGTGTCGTCGCAAAAAGTAAAACCTGTAACAAAATCAATAAAAATAATAAAATTTTCAGTTTTTTACGACAGTGTAGTGCCGTCACAAAAAAAGAAAAAAAAATCCTCCGATAAAATTATTAAAAATGTTAAAATTTCTCCATAATAATATAAAAATTCCTGTATAAAAATAACGATTTCTTCATAATAAAATATTCTTCCATTCATAATTACACATCAACAAAATTATCCCACAACATAATGTTCCATAATTATCCTCCGATAAAATTTAAAAATATAAAAGAAATGAAAAAAATAAACACAATATAAATGAATATAAATTACTTTTTTCTTTATTTATAAAATCACGATTCAAACAAAGCAAGAGTTCACAAAGGTAACCAATGATCACTATTTAACCCAGTTTTAATAAAAATCTCAGAATGGGGAATTATCCTTGGATTTACATGCAGTCTCCACCTCACCATCTCCATATGCTGCAAAATTATCCTCAAAATCTCCATTTGGAGATAATTCACCCTCCTTTCTTTCAATTTTGAAGTGCCCAATCACCTCATTTGAAGATAAAACTGGCCTTGTACAACCACCCTGTAGCATCAAAGATGATCAAAGATCTTACATTAATAAACAATAAATCAATATTAAAGATCAAGACCATCAATATCCCAATCACAATATTGTCATTCATAAGCAATCCAGCTTGTATTAATAGGCCAAGAGAGTGTCCTACTGTTAGGACTTGATGGAAACTTGCGGATTAATAACATTTCAACAATCTTAAGTTATAAAGTCAGTGTTTCGGTGAAAGAAATATCTAACTTTCTAGCTTAATACCTATTCAGTTGAAACTAGAAAGATCAAGGCAATATCATGTGATTAATGAGTGATCACAAAAGATATATGTGTGTGTGTGTGTGTGTGTGTGTGTGTGTGTGTAGAATTAGTTGCAGAGTTAGAAACTACTCAATTGGTGTGTAAACAAAAAGTGATGGGGAAGGGAAGTTTAGGGATTCAAATATTTTCTAGGCTTTAGGCCAGACGGTCATTCACCAATATTTTTTTTTAATAAGAAAAATTCAGCCTAGAGACTGTAAACTTGATTTCACAATCTCCCTCTTTTTTCAGTGTTAAAATTACATTAATATATATATATATATACCAAATGACAAATAGCGAAACTTAACCTACACCAACCCTCGGAAATCCTTAAATATAATCCGATGCCAGTTCCTGAAAATTTAAGCCTTAGTTATTTTGTCTGTAACTCCTACCTTGATATCTACCAACTGCATTTGTTTGCCCAATTTGATGTAATTAAGTACTTCATTGAAATAGGTAGGAAAGAAAGACATCAAAGTAAAAAACAAGTAGCCAAAACCAATAGCGCTCGACCGATTAGAGTTACCCTACTCAATAACCAAAGAATGCCAATTTCATGAAATAATTGCTAGAAACTATATTCATCCATACCTCCAATGAAGGTAAAATTTCATCAATTGGACCCATTTCAACCACACCCTCAACAGTAGCATTGCCATGTCTCGTAGGAGTAGCACCAAGCCCTAGCAATAAAAAGTGCATCTCAGCATCCTAGCCATCAATGTGAGAAAAATAAAACCAAAAGACTAACTGGAAGTAGTCCTGAAGACCATCTTCCTTCATCCCATTACCACCAGTTACCAACCCAGCTTGACAGGAACTTAATTGCTCAGGTGGATTACTTTCATCTCAATTTTTGGAAGGATTTGAATCCTTGGTAGTAATGACAGTTGCACCACCAACTGGACTGCCATTACTTTCTCCAACACTAGCTGCACCACTTTGTGAATTTTGATTTTTAGCCTTTACAACATCTTCTGCGTCCTCTGCCCCCTGAGGTCGACATGGAACCCCAATAATCGGTTCCAGGAAGGTTGTCCAAATCTTCATAACTTTATCCAGCTGTTCACTTGTACAAATTTCACCACAAGAATATTTGATGAGCTGGTAAAGGTCTTCATGGATGTCTGAATCAGGATATTCAAATTCCATATGTGGAATAATCGGTTGCTTTGATGGCATGTGTGAGATTACCAAGATTTGTTTAACACAAGATCTGTTTCTTAACTTGCATATCTTCATTAGGTATTCTTGTTCACAATTCCAATTGCATATTAATTAGATTTGCACTTGTCATTTAGCAGTCCTAACCCAAATGCTTTTTTCCTTTAACAGCTATATATGTAATGGGTAAATATGCCAGCTATGAATTCAAAAGAATGAAGGCGATAATATGTTAATCATTTCTAGTAAATAAGTTCCTTATCTTAGACCATAATTTATGTTATTTATTGGTCCCCACATACCCAATCTTCATTTTTAGCAATCTTTCTTCTTGGATGATACAAGTATTGCAGATGCAAAGCTGCCATGGAGACCAACTGTTTGATGTTGCATATATGAGTGCTAAAGAGTTCTTAAAGAATGGAACATTACATAAAGAATAGAACGTTCCAATGCACAAGAGATTAAAGAATAGAACGTTATTGGAACAAAGCAAACTAGTATTACAAACATAATTCTATAAGGAAGTTCTAGTACGAACGAATTCTTTAAACATTTTTTAAGCTAGTTTTGATTCAACTAGATCATTCTTGATCCTGAGGGGGAGAAAAACATTTCAGAGGAGTACCCTTACATACCAGCAAAGGTACACATTCAGGTCAACTATCAAAACTTGCCAGCAGATAATGAAGCATAAACTTTGCCATATCCTAAAGCAGTGGTTTGACACTGGTAAACCAAAATCCCAACCAGGCAATGGGATACACGTGAAGGATCACCCCCAAATATGTAATTCCTAAATCCAGGAAATGGACAGAGGGCTGCATTTCTATGTCTACCCCCCTGATTTCAATGCATTCTATCATTTTAATCCTAATAAGTTGTTGTAATAGTGAGGGGATGAAATTGTGATCATTCATTGTGTCTTGCTACTAAATTGGTCAGGATGATACTTATCTACATATTGATACTTACAAGCTAATTCTTTCCTTGCCAATATCATTTCCATTACAGTAAGGGTAAAGCATTTTGCTCTTCATTTTTTTTTCTTTTTCTTTTTTTTTTGGGTATATAAACAACCATGATTTCGGCGGAGCTGAAGAAAAAATACAGTGCCACAACATCTTGAAGCAAATATAGTTGATTCTCACCTTTCCTTTCTTTGGAGCATCTGAATCTGTTGGAACCACCTCTTCCGTAAGCAAAGGAGTTTCCACTGGAGTGCTATCCTTGGCAGTGTACTTGATGGGAAGATTTCTGTCCTCAATGTCAAAGGTACCTTCAGGAGGGGGCTCAAGCATCTGATAAACATAGGTGTATAAAACAATTGCACCAACCTAAATAAATAGATAAAAAAATTTATTACATGTTACTCATTTTCTTTGCACAGACTGTATGAGAAATACAAAATGCACAGACAAAATTCTTAAAAATATGTAGACACCTAACAAGCCAACAAGAATTCAGATTTAGGAAACCCAATGAACATAGATTTTAAAAAGATACAATTAACCTATATGCAGATTCATAGGTACAATTCCAAAATGCTAAATAGTAAAAGCAAATGATAAATAGGGCATTTGTAACTCTACAGAAACACCTTTTTTCTTTTTATTTTTTATATTTTTTAATCTTTCCAATTTGTAGTGACATAAAAAATAAATAAACCAGACTTCCACTTATGGGACATATATAACCTAATGATGGAATAAGTCAAAAATGTTCCTGCATAAAAAATGCATTCATGCAATTAACAATCTAAATCATATACGTGAATAACAAAGGAGTGATTCTTCTTTCCTCCCCTTGTTTCCCATGTCCAAGACCAAACTGTTAGTTTTATCCTCAATCAATTCTACCATTTTTTTTCTCATGAACAAGTGGGGACTATAAAATGTTTAACATACTCTGATTTAGATGCATCCAAAATTGGCAAGAAAGTGCGAAGAGAATAGATGTTATAAAATGTGAAGTTCTTGTCAATATATTATTTGACAATTATTGTGATATTTTCTGTCTAATTTTGACAGTTATTGTGATATTTTCTGTCTAATTTTGAACAAAAATTACCTTTGGAGTAAAGAAAAAATAAACTTTAAGATTGAAAAAATGACCAAACATAAAGGGCAAAGTGTAACAATGTTTAGATTGATGAAATTAAAAAAACTTAGGTTTAATTCGCTACCAACCCTATAAAAATTTAATTATTTTGCAGACAGTTTGGGATACGGAAAGTGTTCTGCTAAGTGGACCAAGTGGCGTACACTTACAATGAACCTCAATGCTCCAGGTTGTCAAAAGTTTTGTTCATAGAAGTTCCTTGTCATAAAATGTGAGAAGCTGCTTCACATGATTAGAGAGAGAGAGAGAGAGAGAGAGAGAGAGAGAGAGCATACGCTGAGTGAGAAAGTCGTCGCCGATCCAGCCCTCACTGTCGTCGTCGCCGCACCACCGCTAGCCTGCTCGCTGTTCGTCGCTCGTCCAGAGGGGGAAAAAGTTCGACGTTTGTCATTTGGGGATTTCGAACATTTAGGGATTTCAAACATTTAGGGCTTTCGACCCAAATGCGAGCGCCAAGATGAAAAGGATAAGAGCGGCAAATTTTTTTTACTTTTTGCGACGGTACATTTTATACCGTCGCAAATGATAAATTATTATAGCAAAACCGACGCCGTTTCAATAAGGTTTTTTGGCGACGGACATTTTGCCGTCGCAAATGGGCCACTATTTGCGACAGCCAACTCATGCCGTCTCAACAAAATTTTTATTTGCGACAGCAACAAACGCCGTCGCTAATACTTCTGTTTATCCGTGTAGTTTTATTACCGACGGTAAAACACTGTCGCTAAAGCCCTTATTTGCGACGGTTAAAAATGTCGTCGCAAAAAACCATTTTTTGTGACGGGAAGCGCGCCGTCGCAAAAACTCCCGTGTTTTATGCTCCCTTTTCTTGTCGTGTTTCCTCAATTTTTTTAAAAAAAATAGAAACTATTTCTGACAGAAATAAATATTAAAAAAATATTTTAAAAACTATTCATACTCTCTAAAACGATAAAACTCTATGAAAATTATATGTATTTTTAATTTTTTTTCATCAAATTAAATTTTTTTATTTTTTTGAAAATAATTTCTGAAAATCAAACTAAATAGAGAGTTGTTATTTATCATCTTTTTTATCATTTAATATCACCAGGTTATATAAAAAATATTATTTACATAAAAGACTGACAAAAAAAATAGTGATATATAACATTCACTACAGGAAATCATGGATTTAGCGACGTTTAATTAACGGCGTTTTTTTAAACGTCACCTTTTCTGATAATTAACGATGTTTTGTAAACGTCGCCTTTTGTGTTAATTAAAACGGTCCCATTTCTGAATAGAGGTCGTTTGAAAGCGCCTCCAAATCCTTATTTCCAAACCCACTCCCTGTCTCTCTTCAAACCCCTATTTCCAAACCCTACACAAAGTCGATCTATTCTCACAACTCCAAGGTGACTCTCTCTCTCTCTCCCTCTCCCTCTCTAAACCCTAATTTCAGTCTCAGAGGATCGAATCAATACGAAGTTCTCTCGCTCGATTCCCCTTCAGCATGGTGATTCCTCTTAGTGATTCATCTCAGAGCGATTATGACTTTGATTTTGAAGTTCTCTCTCTCTTCATTGTGAGCACCACCTTCTACAATCTTAGAAAAATCGATCGAATCCTTCAAAACCTTCTTCAGCTCGGTGATTCCAGCTGTGGTGTTCGTCTTTGTGGATTTGGAACTCTTCATCTTCTTCGATCAGTGAGATCAGAGGTTAGTTGAGCTCAAATTTTAGGAATATTTGAAACTTGTTTCTTTCTTAGATGTTTCTTTTGTGCTCTGTTTTGAATAGTTGTTTGTGAATCTCTCTTTGCTCATCTTCTTCCCATTGGTTTGTGAAGATTTAGTGGGTATATAATTAATGTTTCTTCTGTGCTCTATTTGTGAATAGTTGTTTGTTATTTTGCTTAAATTGTGTGGATTTCGTACCAAAGTGTTGTTTTGTGGATGCAATGATAGACTAGTTAGACTTGTAGTGATATTCATTAATAATGAAATTTGTAAATATAAATATAGTTTTTTACTCATTGATAGACTATTGAGCTGCTTCCAAGTGGTGAGAATGAGAGAAATTAATAACCTACTTTGCTTTTAGTCTCATTCTTCTTTTGCTGGTTAGTTCTTAGTCAAGAGAAAATAATAATAATAATAATAATAATAATAATAATAATAATAATAATAATGAAGATAGTATATATAGTCCAGCTGGCCAAGGAATAATAAGGGTTACCAGTCTACTGGTTACCAAATGCCAAATAACTTAATTTAATTTGGGTTCTCGCCTACATACACAAAGAATGCTTATATACAAAGAATTCATCATGGTTTAGTAGTTGTCTGCAACATATGTGTGTGGTCTAATTATCAGTTTTCATGGTGTGCTAAATATTGAAAATGCTTAGTTTTGATGCTTTTAATTTTAGTGCATATACAACCAAAACAGAAAAATTAATTAGTTGATTGTCTTATTTGGATGCTCTAGGATCTTGATTAACTCAATATGACTCTTTTTTGTTTTTTTTGTTTTTGTTTTTGTTTTTGGACTTTGTTGTCTTATTTGGATACTCTACTAAGGATCTTAAAGCTTGTCCAATTTTATCACGGAAGTTGAGAAATTTCCCTATTTTCAGTTGCAGAACAGCATATGAACTTCACTTGTCAGATTATCAGATATATTGATTTTTTTATTTTTTTATTTTTTGTGCATATGAACTTCACTTGTCAGTTTTTGGTTACTAACATAATGAGTACATACTTACAACTTTGGCTTCCACATTATTATTGTTATTTTATTATTATTATTATTATTTTGTACTGTATTACATAATTTGCTTTCCCTGGGGTGAGAGAGTATTGACCTCTTTTCGAAACTCATCAGCTTTATCGTGGCTCAGACAATTCTCTCTCAAGATTTTCTGGGACCTTTTAACAATACATTGATCATTTTCACGGAAACCAATGTTTGCCATCTCCTTTGATAATTTTATGCTTTGAGTTTAGCTTCACCACTGTGAATGGTTTTAAATGTTACTAGCGTTTGTTGCCTTTGGGAGTTATATCTAAGGCTTTGCAAACATTAAGAAGATTGCCTTTGGTTATATAGGGCCTAGTTCATTCTATCTTGTCCTTGAAATCATCTTACTATAATGAATAAAGTAAATTACAAGTACAGCTAGTAATGTACTGGGTAATGGTCCAATTCTTTGCATTACAACTTGAACGATTTCTCGTAACATTACCCATTGTTAGTGCATTGGCATGAAGGTAAGAGTGATTTTGATTATATTTTGAGAAAGAAATACCTATGTATATTTGTTGGCTATACATTTTGTACTAAACCAGTGACAATTCGACACGTGACAAAGTGAGGGTAATTTGGAGAGACCAGGTAGGTCTTCAATCTTGATCATACACGTGGCAATTAATATTGGTTGTTATAAGATCTGAGTAGTAGTGGATCAACAAAGAGACGTACAGTGACGTGGCTTCAACGGTTGCTCACATTCAAATTCGAATATAAGAGGGAAGCCTAACTGCAAGTAAAGGCGTAGTGGAGCTACTTATAAGGTAGCATGATCAGCAGTTACGAAGGAGTGTTATGCCTCTGTTTTTACTTGGTTTTGGTACCCCATGCATGCTCAGCATAGTTGCCATGTAATGCCATGTTATTGCCTCAATGTGCCTTAGGTTGTTAGCCTTTGTTGGAGCATGTTTTAGGCTTCGTCTTGTGAAGATTTTGTGCATGTTTTGCCATGTTCTAGGTCTGTCCTAGGTTGTTTGGGTCGAATTTGGCATGCATCATATAGCCCCTTTGCATTCGGGCTTGTTGGCCTCAAGTATGTGGATGTGTAGTATGCATTGCTGCATCATTTAGGTGGTTTGGAACCGCCTTACATGTTATTTCAGTCCCATTTCCATGCTTGTTTGATTGCCTTGCGTGTCCCTTTAACGTTTTGGAAGCATGTGTTGCATGCTCCATGTTTTGGCTATTGTGCATGCCTTTGTTTTTTGAATCATTTAGATGCCATCTAAGTGGTCCTTAGGCCTTGTATTAATGTCCTAAAACTCTGTTTTTGGTCAATGATTTCATGCCATGTTTGGTCTTGCTAAGTGTAGTCCAATGCTCCATTGGTTTGTTTTAAGCACTTAGGCCATTTGATGCATGCTTGGCTTGATTTATTGCTTGGTTTGGCACCATGTTTTAGCATGACTTCCAATGCTTATGTTGCATGCTAATTAGTCCATGATTCCCCCTTTCAAATGTGTTTGAGGGTTGTCCAATTTGTGCTTAAGTGTTGGCCTTTCAACATGTGTATGTGTGCATGTGTATTTGGTCCTTCACTACAGCATTTTGGCTACTGTTTTAGGCCTATTTAGAGTTGCCTAATTCATGTTTAAGTCCATCTCTCCATCTATTTGCATTGCCATATGTATGCTTGTATGCTTGCATAAGTTAGTTACCATGCCGTGTTGCATCCTTAGCTTGCATGCTTAGGTTGCATTGCATCTTGCATGCATGCCTTGTTCCTTGACTTGATGATAGGAATTGGGCCTTGTTTGGTTTGATTGGTTTGCATTGCATTTGAAATCAAAGTTGCATACTTGGTTCTTTGGGCCATCATGCATGGAAATGCGTGATTGGTGGTCCGAGAATCGAGGCACATGCCCCTTTGAGTCATTATCATGATAAGGGACATGGTTGGTGCATATATGCCTTGAAATGTGCTGCCATGCTTTGCCTTGTCCTCTGTTGCTGTCATTTGCAGATTCTGCAGGAACATTCTGCCGACCGGCAAACCAGGGGCAA